GTTCTGTCTACTGTGTTTTTGGATGATTTTTCTAATCATGTGACTGTACATATTTTGAGGTAGGACCAGCAGTTCTAATACATGTTTGTGTAATATCTGATAAAACAGGAATGTAAAATGCTGAGATGCCTGGTGATATATGCTGGTCAATTACTTTTAGTCTTTTAGGAGAACCCATGCTAATTTTAATTTTTCACTTTTTTTTTTTTTTTATTCTTTTTTTTTTTCCCCCAAGTGTTACGAACTGAGTTATAGAATGGTGTTAAAAGAATATACTTATTTTTCAAGCAGCCTATCTGGCGATGACTTAGTTAAGGTATCCCAGGGATTCCTCACTACAAAAGTGCAGTTAGGAAATACTGATGCCAGAGTCTAAACAATATAGGGATTCCTTTTAAAGGAAGGACTTAGAGCTGTCTAAGAATTATATCATAACCAGACTCTTTCCTAAGAAGAGTGAACGTTGAGAGCAAGTTGCAGTATGGTCCAGCAGATGCGTCATATAATTAATAATATAAATCACACTTTGAACTGTCAGATTTTTCCCAGTGAAACACCTTCAGGCTGTGACATACAAGAGAGGACTGAGGATGTTTCATGGAAGTGAGGATAAGCATTTAGCTTGTAATAAATCAAAGCTCTGTATTTTGGAGTCCCATGTAGTTGTGTGTTCATATCTGGAATGCAAATGCATATTTCCCAAAACATAAATGCCATCAAACGCATTTGAACTCTAGGAGAACATTTGACATAGTTTTTTCACCAGGTTCCTACCTTCAACTTGGAGAGTTTCTTCCTATGCTATTAAACTATTGTCTGTCAGTCATGAAAAGTGTTTTGATTTTTCTAGATATGTTGTAGACTCCATTCCTACAGAGATGATCTATTAATTTTGTTTGCTTTCTCTTAAAGTATCAGTTGCATCCTCAGCAACTACTTGGATAGAACACTTACAAAGTTAAATCTCCAACAGGGTAGAGAGCTATTTTATTGTGATTCTGTGCACCCAGGTTTAGCTAGCTAGCAGAGTCATAAATGTACTTTGACCAAGGATGAACACTGCTACAACCTCATTCTTATGTTGTACTGTGTTGAGTGTATGTGGCAAGGAGTTGGTAGAAAGAGGGCTGCAGGGTGGGTTCTGTGAGAATACACCAGAAGCTGCCCCCATGTTGAACAGACCCAGTTCCAGCTGGCTCTGAAATGGACCCATGATTGGCCAAAGCTGAGCCAGTCAGTAATGTTGGTAGCTCCTCTGTGTTAACATATTTAAGAGGGGTAAAAAATGCCGTGCAACAGCAGTAGGGAGGAAGCAGTGAAAATATGTGGGAGAAACAACAATGCAGACACAGAGGTCAGTGGAGAATGGAGGCGAAATGAATGGGCAGCTTAGTGGACACCCAGAGGCCAGCTGAGGTCAACCCACCACAGATACGTCAAATTTGGTTACAGCACAAATTGTTATGAGTTGCAGCCGAGCTGACCATTTTAAATACAGTTCTTTGTGCTATGTAGACAAGGCACAGATGAAATGAAAGTAAGTCGCATTAAGAGACAGACAAAGAGTTCATTGTAGAAGTTTGCAGTGGACTTAGTTACAGTAACTTTGTGATATGTGACACAAAATGTCTGATCTGGACAAGTTTCCTGTCTAACATATCCCTACAAAACATGCTAGGAAAAGAAAGCATATAGTTGCAGAAGTCATTTAGCTAAACTTCTGGCTATTTAATGACAAACAAGAATGTGCTTTTAAAAATTGAATCCTTTTTTGCATGAATGGATTGTTCTACTTGTTAAAAGATGTGCAAAATGAGAGAAGTCACATGCTGGCAGAGTTAAGGCTTCGGTGTCTCCTAAAGTAATGTACAATCAATGGCAAGTATTTATCGGGTTTCTTTATATTTACATGGAAAAGAGCAAATGTTCTCAGTGAAATCTGCACTTGTGAAAAGACTCAATGGAGAGAGCAGAGGTTATCCTCAGCAAATGAGGAATGTGCTGCCCTACTTTTGCATTGCTTGGGAGTGGTGCATGAAGGCCACCAAGGTCTGATGACCTCACCTGCAACACAGACTGTATCCAGGGAGGCTGCTGCACAAGGTGATAGGAGCCAGACACCCAGAGCATCTACAGCAAAGGCAGTGCCGATGTTGTCCAGGGGACAGTCCCATGGCAGGCAAATGGAGCAGTCAGAGCAAGGCTCTGGTAACAAGCTCCAGTGATCATCCTAGACAAGCCACGTGATGGGTCAGGTTCAGGGTCCACCTGGAGCAGTAGGAGATGGGACCAGAGACAGGGCTGGAGACAAGGCAACAGTATGGGTCCATCCAGGAGTCAGGGTCAAAGTTAGAACTGGAGACAAACTACAATGTACATCCAAGAGATCCTCCAGGGAAAGAAGCATAGGTCCATCCAGGCAGACCCAGAGATGAGTCTGAAGACAAGCTCTCCGATGGCATAGCTCAGGCAGGGACTGACAGGCCTGGGACAGAGTGGGAGCCCATGGGTAGGGTGCTGAGGGAGTGGTCCTGAAGGGAGGTTGGGAAGAGCCAGTAGGGCTTATCACTGCTCTCAAAGCTTTTAGAGTTTGGTCTTCTATTATGGATACCAAAAGGGTCTGTTATTCCTAGGTACAGCAAAACAGACTGAAAGATCCAGTCTGATTGTTACACTTCTCGCAGTTTATCCAGGATATTCAGTAGTGAACAGATAATCCCAGGTGTAGAAACATCATTGCCTTGAAACATCTTGCAGGGACTTTCCTGCATTTGTGCAGTGCAGACAGACATTTTGATATCCAGACCGCCTCAGGAAATGCCTAGTACCATAAACGCCCTCCTCATCTCTTGCCATGGACACAAAATCTGGGACAAATAGCAGTTTCACCTCAATTAATCCAAGAAATTTTTTTCTCTGGTTTCTCATTGTATGGTATTGCACAGTTCCCACTGATCCTTTTCTATTGCCCTGGCTAGATTCCTTGCCAACAACATGAGGATGTTAGGATGTGCAAGGTCATAGATTGTATTCCTCAGGCAGATGGTGGATTTCAAGGGAGTATGTAAATTTTATTTCAGGATATCCTCATGTTAGTACAAAAAAAAGAATTTCTCAGAAGACCATTTGATATATTCAGTAGAGTATGTGGAAGAGTGTTAATAGCAGATTCCTTTTTCAGAAAACAGTATTGCTGGGAAAGGGGCAGCATAGTTTTCCCGATTTTAATTCCTTTTGTTGGCTTTGAGATTCATACTGACAGGTACATCCAGAAGAGCTGAGAGAGAGTTGAAGTTTTAAGTACTTTGTTTCTTATTTACTTTCAGTTACAGGGGCAGAGTTAACATACTTATAAGTGACCAGTTATTCCGAGAGCACTGATGTAAAGAACTATGTAAAATATATAGCTTCTATATAGTATTTAAGACCATTACATTTGGGATAGTATTTATTTTTCTTTAAGTGTATTTGATGTGTTTAATTGACTAGATGACTACATGTGGCTTTTGTATTAATGTGTTTTGCGTTGAACAGCTGACCAGGAAAAACTCTCTTCCATACTTTTTGTATCATAAACCAAGTCATGAAATTATTTGCAAAAATTATTGGCTGCTTAAGTAAATAGTTGCTTCTGCTTTCTGGACCACCTCCTTCCAGTAGCTTCTTTTAATTTTTTACATAGACAAGTGGAAGATGAAAGCTTTGCAGTGCTTCATGCTTTGGCCTGGTGATGATTTCAGTTAATACTTGAAATGAAAGGCAAAAGTACCTTAATATGTGTTTTTGGCTCTTTTTTATAAGAAACAAATCTCTCTGTCTTGACAGACACCCCATATTGGAATTTACAGTGACATTTTGTGGTATCATTGTGGTAATTAGCTTGAGTTTGCCTCATATCAGCATCCTGTTTCACCCCTTTCCCAAAATTAATCAGCCAGCTTTTCAGCAGTTTTCAAGCTTTTCTAGGTTCCTGCTCTTCTATTTGACAGCGTAACTGCTGGAGGTTCATCTTCCACAGATGAGTAGAAATCTAAACCACAGCTTCCAATATGCATGCTGAGACATGCATATTGTCATGAAACACCAATATAAATAGCATCATGGCACTTACTTTCAGAGTTGTTTACTGAGACAAGCAAACAGAAAGCCTGACATAGTTTGAAGCACTATTGGGGCTGCTTAAAGCTGTGCCTTTTAATTTTGGCCTCAGGGAGCCATTCAAGCAAGTGGTGCTCAAATGAAGCTCTCCTCATACTTTGTTGTGCTTCAGTGCTGTGTAACTGCACTGTCTTAGGGGCAGAACTGATTCTTAGGCCTTACTGCTTTTAATTGCGTATTTTCCTTCAGAGCATTCTTGTAACCAGATGGAAGCAAGGCTCATAAGAACATTTTGTTCCAATTCACATGGAGACCAAGCAGTAGCTATTAATTAATGTAAGGGTCACCCAAATCTCATTTTAGTATCATCTTTCTCACAATTAATTGGTAATACTTTCCACTTAGAAGAGATTAAGCGTAGACAACTGCCTGGTGAACAACATAAGAGTCCAAGGGAGAGCAGTAAAATATACTGATAATTAGAATTCTGAGATCATAGATGAATGTGAATAGCAGCGGCTTCAGGCTGTTGAATGATCTGCTGAACGAAATTGGCAGAAGCAGTTTCATGGACACTTGGGAGATAAAAAGTAGGGCTTTTTTCCTGTGAATAGTTCAGTTCTTCCTATAAGTCAGTATCAATGGGAATGAAAATCAGGAGCAATAAAGAACAATTACTATCACCCTCTGTGCAAAGTAGATTAAAAAAAAAATCAAGCATTTTAAAATTATGCCATTTACAGTGGTGATGCATTCTAGTTCTTAAACAAAGTCTTGAAAACAATGCCCAACTCC